CTTTCCTGGCCGCGATACTCGATCGTTTTAGATTTTTGATATTATTGAAAAGGAGATTCAGAGACGTTTCTCTGGTGAACGGAGGAAGCCTCGATTAAAAGTGCATTTTGTATTTCGATTTCAATACACATCCGATTCATTCATCGATCTATGCTGTATACCGACTAACAAAAAAACAGTGCTTCGAAACGTGTCACGTGAACATTTACACGGGAAAAACATCGACACAGAGAATCATAGGACACGAGCATTTTTATTCACGAGGTACTTAGCACGCGTGTTACTTTGCGATGTTCGATATATTCAAAGTAACATGCACGTTAATTGCCGAGAACATTTTCCATACATATTTACAACAGAGATACTACTCACATGGATACACGCATACACATACACACAGATTTTGTACATATTTTTAATAATGTATGATAGCTATAATTCTAAATTGTACGAGGCAAACTTATGTATCTAACAGAGCACAGTTGTGTAATGCGCGTGATCGTAATTATATCGTGTATGCCAAAAGAACGGAAAAAAAGAAAGAAGAAGATAGAAAGATAAAGAACAAAAAATGAAGCGTGTTTTGTTAAAAAAAGAAGAATTTTTTGTAGTAACTCGGGACTTCCTCCCAAACGACTTCGGATCCGAATTTTTTCGTTTGATCGTTCATTTCCCTCGCGGTTTCTCGATGTCGTCTCGTGTTGAGAACTTTTTGCAAGCATCATAGAGGCGGTTCTATGTCGCTGATGTCTGGAATAAAAGAAAAGAAAAAAATAAAAAAAAAAAAAGTCTTGCGGGAGTTATATTATTCTAATAATTCTAATTGGCCGTACGAATAAAAATCGATGCTTCCGGTTCGATATTCGAGAACGAAAATGATAACTTCAAAACTTAGTCGTTTCTCGAGATCGAGATCGATTCTGTTGTTTACTCGTGCGGCTCTTAGCGCTGTCGGTGCAAAAAGAAACAAAGAAAAAAAATTAAAAAAAAAAAAGAAAAATAATAGATACAAAGAGAAAATTCACAGAGATAAAAATTATTTTCTAAAGAATAAAAAAAAAAAATATAAAGTAAGAAAGAAGGAGAGAAAGGAATCGAGAGAAAGTGAGAGAGAGTATGATAGATTTAAAAAAAAATAATAAAAAAAAGATATAATGAAAAAGAAAAGAAATGTCAACGACGAGCTTGCGTAAGAATCGCGCGAGAAACAAAAGATGAAGCGAACAAAAAGCGAGAGAAAAAAGAAAAAATAAAAAAGAGAAAACCAAAAAAAAAAAATTAAAGAGCTAGAAAAAGATAATTTCCTTTTTTTTTTTTTTTTACGTGTTTACACGCGATCTCGTACTCGCGAATTTTTTTCTATAAAATGCGGATTTTGAAACGAGATCGTATATATAAAATAAAACGAGAAACAAATTTAAGAGAAAAAAAAATCGAAAAAATCGAAAAACTACAACAGATATCTACATCATATTTACATATAAAAAAAAAAAGAGAAATTAAACAATGTCTAATGTACTGCGCGCCTGATTTTACCGTTGCATAGCGTACGAAAAATTCTCACTTAGGTATTTGTAAGTACCGTTTAAGGGGGTGGGGGGGCAGTCAACAGATAATTATACGCCATTAGTTGCATTTGATCGATAATATATTTAATTAGTTGGCAATTTATTCGTGGCTAGCAATCTATCTTTCTTTCGTCGATTCGACGAAGGATTGCGTTTGATCTCGAGAAACCGTGGTGTACTCACATGCATTTCTTCGTTCAGAGGTTAGGATTATTCTAGTGTAAATCATTAGCTAATAGAAGCGTTTTTAAAATGATTCAATTTATATTATTCCTTCGAAGGCTCCACCGATTTTTAATAATTCGACGAACACACACATATATACACATTTACACGTTCATACATATATTTACGCATTCATATACACACATGATCATTCTAGTTACATATGGTAATACTTATGTATATCCGGCATGTACCAATACGAACTGTCCCTTGAAATATTTTCATTATTTTAGACGTACGAGCTTTCTCTCTCTCTATTTCTCTTATTTCGACTATTAATTACTTTTTCTTAGTAATTTCTCGCTGCGTATACTATTTAAGAATACCGGTTGTTGTAGCCAATTACTGATAGTTGATAAATTATTATTAATATTTTAACGAGACAAAGGCTGTTGCATTTATTGTTTACGAATTCGACGATCGCTCTAGCTGCACGCACTGATATAAAATAATACTCTTTGTATAGGGAATATAGATCCTTTTTCGATCGAAAATTCTCGAGATCAATACGCAAATCTGATTCGTCGACGCGTTTAGAGAACGAAACGTATTAAAAATGCGTGGCGTCAAGAAGGAGGCTGTACGATGCGTTTCTGATCGTTACATCGTGTTCGAAAATTGTTCCTTTTTTGTGTTTAAAATATTATGTGATGATCATCGTTTTGCGATGATTATATTTTTTCGCGAGATAGTAAAAAGACGACGAAACACGATCAGTTCGCCGAATAGTGAAATAAACTCTAATAAACGAAAAGGAGAATGAAAAATAATAAAAAAATAAATAAAAGGAAAGGGACAAGAAAAGAGAAAGAGAAAGGAGCCACGCTAATTATATTAAACGTACTATAATAATGCGCTGCATAGCAATTCGTTTCTTCTCGAAGTACACACGTATACATAATATACATAAATATAGGTTCTTTCCTTCGTAGTGCATACAATAATTAATTCTGGCGTATTCATTGCGTACTGTATAAATGTATACATAGCGTAATGTATTAATTGCGTAATTACCATCCCGAATGGCGGCGATTTTAACGGTTCCATTGTGCAAGGGAAGGAACCGCTTAAATGCGCTTTACAAAGTGATTCAAAACATGTTATTTCTATTTAAGAAGAAAAGACTCGGGCACGTTAAAATGCTATACAGTGTAAAACAAAGAAGATGAAAAAAAAAGATGAATATTGTATCTGTGCTGCCATTAGCGTTAAAAAAATGAAAGGAAAAAACAAATTTAAGAAAACAGACAAAGCCAAAGTATATAATTAATGAAAAACACGCGGGTAATACATATACATATACAATACACTCAGACACATACACATATTCATATGTTCCACATAGTGAGTTATGTTTGGAGATGAAACAGGAAAAAAAAAAAATATATATATATATATAAATAAACATGTTATATACATACATACATACACACAGTACACAAATATACGCGTATTAACGCATACACACGTACATTACATACCCGACGATATAATTAATAAGTACTTTAATCCTGAAAAAAATAAATGATTAATTTCGCAATATGAAAATGATTTTAGGAGCCTTCGTGTTGAATAATTAGCAGTCTCATTCCATGTATCGTATAATCGAGAGATCGAGTGACCGTGATCAGTACGTATATAGCGATAAAATCATTAAATGACAAAAAAAAAATGCGAAATAATAATGAACCTGTTAAAAGAAATGGTTCGTAGTGTGTACTGTATTCGAATGTGATCAATTTGTTATTTATGTTATTTATGTCCCTGATTATTGTTACGTTGTGCTTATTATTATTGCTGATGTATTATTATCATATTTATTATAACTCCGAGAAGTATTATCATTATTGTGAGTATTATTAGCTTTATTATCACGATCATTATTATTGAATATTATTTATTATTATTATTATTATTATTATTATTACATTACGCGAGCACGATCAACCGCTCATTTTTTTCTAGTCGAATTTCTCTAGTCCTAATTAGAGTACTGTCGATACTCAGTCTCCCCCGTCCCCAATATTTGATTTTTTGTCAAATAATCCCAAAATGATGCCACGCGTTGCAGGACGCGACATAGATCTTGCGTAATAGAGTGATGCATTACCTGTGCAACAAATGCAGTATACAACCCGTAAATATGAGGTCAATGTTGATTTGTTTAAATAAATGTAAGTTTGAAAACTCACAACAGATTAAGTTGTTTTTCAATCAATTTCCCTATTTGTTATTGACTTAAAGGATAATTAAAATAATTTAAAATTATTTTTTTATCATTTTTTTTAATTCAATTATATTGTTCAATATTTTTTTATAGAAAATAATATTTCGCAGTTAAAATTTAAAAATACTAGGAAATTTTCGCATGTCATTTTCTATTTAATTATATTTTTTTAATCATTAAAATCAAGCAAAATTCAGCAAAAATTTTTGAATTTGGAAAAATTTCGTGTATCATTTTCTATCGAATTATTTTTTTCAATATTTTTACTAATTATTTTTTCTAATTATATTAGAATTTGATATATTTATATATGCTTATACAAAGAATCACGAATTTATGCCATCTTTTAAATATCAAAAATATTTTTTAGAAATATTCAAGAGATAAAATCAATTTTGACTTTACTTTATTCTAGTTTTGAAGAGATCTTTACAGATGAGGTATAAAACCAATTGAACGTATTTTTATCATTCTTTTTTTAAAACAATGTGTTTTAATCTTTATTATAAAAAATATAGATATCGATAAATAGTATTTTCGAAACATAAGACATAAAAAATATATTAAATGTTGAACATTTTTTGTTGTAAAATATATTTTGTTAGAGTATGCAAATGCAGTTAATATCTAGATAGGAAATAGAATAAACTAATTATTTAATGCAATTTTTTATACATATAATTATCTTTTGTTCGATTATATTACCAATTATCAAATTACTCTGCATATCTAATATATGTATTATTATGTAATTACTGACATATTACATATATTATATAACATATAAAAACTTAAAAAGATGTATAAAAATAAATATATGTAAAATATACTTTTTATATAGCTTCTAAATTATTTGAAAATTATTGAATGCTAGATCTATTCCTTATTTAATCTATGGCTGTAGCATTATATATGTATATATATATATATATATTTTTTTTTTCTTCATGATATTATGAAAATATATCACATTTTCAGAATAGTATTTAATAAATACTATAAAGAAAAATAATTTATGAAAATTATTGTTTGTAATTTGTATATAATCGTGTAAACATAAAGTATGACGACGTGTCAAAATGGCCGATCTTAACAAAGAACTAAATGAATATCTTCTTAGCAGCAAAAATGAGAAACAATTTAAAATTACCGTACCTGCGGTGACAATACCAAAAACAAATATTGGAAAATGGTTTGGAAAAGGTGAAGAAGACAAAGAAGAAACAGGATGGATTCAAGGAACACAAAAGGAATGTTGTCCTAGTATGGTTCGTATATATATCTTGTTAATATAGTAACCTAACTACTAAATATTTTTAAAAACATCACAAATTTCGTTTTTTTTTTTGACAGACAAGAATACAAAGGCTAATAGCATTTGTTGTGTGCTTTTCTATGGGTGTACTTTGCTTCTGTCTATCGGCGATTTATATTCCGGTTTTGTTATTAAAAGCGCGAAAGTTTGCACTTTTGTACACCTTAGGAAGTGTTTTCTTCTTATCAAGGTAAATTTGAATAAACGACGAATAAAAATATAATTATACAAAAAATAAGCAAACTTATATTAAATTAATTCTTATAGCTTTTGCTTTCTTTTGGGTCCATTGAGTTATTTAAAATCATTATTTACTGCTGAAAGAAGGTGCTTTAGTATATCCTATTTTGCAACTTTGATAGGAACACTTTATTGTGCTCTTCATTTACAATCTACACCATTAACAGTACTGTGTGCTGTTTTGCAATTAATAGCTATGATATCGTTCTTAGTAAGTCATATACCAGGAGGAACAAAAGGTCTAATGTTTTTTACAAGAATGTTCAAATCTTCTGTAAATTCTACATTGCCTGTGTGATATTATAGTTTCTTAGGTATTAAATATATGTGAAATAAATATTCTTTGTATCTTTAATTATAATATTTTATAAAATTCTATATATAAAATATATATAATTTCTATAAACAAATGGAAAACACATGTTTTTATGTGGATTTGATATGTACAAAAGACTGACTTATTATAGTACATAATCAAATATAAATAATAAATAACATAACAATATTAAGACTTTGAGGCTTTTTTGGCCAGAATATAATTAATAATTAGAGAATATAATTAATAATTAGTAATAATAATAAATTTGTTTATATTTTAAATAATTAATAAGAATAAAAACATTTTTGTTATAAAAAATAAAAAATTAAAATTGCTATAATTGAGTTATATGAAAAATGCAGTTTTTGTATATATTTATATGTATAGATTTAGATAAGATTTATTAATTTAATGAAATAAAAATTGTATTTATATATTCAATATTTATTGACATGTACAATAAAAAATTCTTTAATTATATTAATTTTTTTTATATTATTGCCTTTTTTTATTTACTTTTGTAGATTTTATGCGATTAATATTACCTTGTAAACGTTTAACTTTTAAAGGTAAATATTTAACATTTGAAGTTACATTATTTATTTTTGTAAAATCTTTCCTATTTTTTGAATGCTTTTTTTCACAAATATTGATATATCTTGTATTTTTCTTAATGTTTGTATCAAACTCATCAGAATCATAATTAGTTACAGAAATAAAATCATTTTGTTCTGTATCTTTGGGTTCCTGTGTGGAATTTTCTTTTGATTTAGGTGGAATAAATACTCTTTCTTTACGTGAAGATCTATACAAATATACATCTGTAGATATTGTAAATTTATTTGGCTCTGAAGAATCAATCTGAAGTTCATTTTGAACATCTATTTTGTTTTCTTCATCTAAAGTGATTTGTTCTGATGTTTCAATGTCTTGGAATAATTGAAGTCTATTCTTTGGTACAGGTATATCTTTAAAAATATCACATATTGTTACATATAAAGGATGAAAATGATGATCTACAGAATCCATCACAATATTCTGCAATTGAAATTATAAAAATAAAATAAAATTAGATTAGAATTAGATTAGAATTAGATTAGAATGTTACTTGTACATTTCAAATAACTTTACCTTTAAGGCATATGCAGCAGATGCAAATCCTATAGTATGTAACGTTATAGATTTTAATTTAGATAATAATAATAAAGGTACTTTTTTATTTTGTGCCATATGAATAATATGCTTTATTAAAAGTGGTGGTGAAATATTTGCATCCATTAAAATACAACAAATATTATTTTTCTCTAAAGATCTTGTGATAGCATTTATGCCTAAGATCACAGAATTTCTAAAAAATTTCAAATTTTTAAAACTTATATATATCAAAAAAATATATATTAATGTTTCAAAATACTTACATTAGCTCTGAATTTAATATATTTTCATCTTTTTGAAGTGCTTCTTTTTTAGCTTGTACACGTTCTGCTTTTTTCATATGCCTAAGTTGTGACCATGGAATTGAATGAGATGGTCGCTTTATAGCTGGCATTAATCTATATATATTTATTATAAAAAATATTAATTTATATGAATATTTATCTTTTTTCTTTAAAATTATTTCAACTTACTTGTTCAAAAGTTCTTCTAATAGTGGATATTTTTCTAAATCTACAATTGGCCTATAATAACATATAATTATTATAGTTGTTATAAAAAAAATCATTATAAGATAATAAATTTAAAAATAAAATTATTTATTAATTAATTAATTTATTAATTAATTTTATACTCATTTATAAAAACATTTGAATTAAAATTATCATACCAATAATGATCTTGAGGTTGTGCTAAGACATTTCGTAATCCTTTGACCGATCCTTTTTTTGCTGACAATGAGTGTCTTTGTTGTTGTTTTGTCAATATTGGTGTATTCATCATAAAGAAATTAAAATATTGATTCAGGTTAAGTTTTCCTGTGAACACATGATAAATCCATAAACCATAAACTATAATAGTAAATAGATGAATTGATTTCTTATGTCGCCATTATCGAACAAATTTTGCGGAAAATTCAAAACTATTATTTACATTGTCAATTTTTTTTATAAATCCTTGCAAAATTATATAATTTTAATAAAAATTTTCGTAGTAATAGAAAAATATGTAGTGAAAATTAATATTTTAATATTTATAATAATTGTTTCTAAAATTTAATTTTATATAAATTATTCAAAATCTTAATAATGAAATCTCTTTGATTTAATTTTATATTGAGACAAAATAAAAAGTACTATATATTTTTTAATTTTTTAAATTTGACTTTCTAAAATTTAAATTAATAGTATGAAATCGGTAAGCTATTCGGTTTTATAGTTTTTCATTGTAAACGGTAGCTTTAGTTCCAGTGGCGCTTGCGAAGAAAGTCTGTTAAAGTAAAAAACATAGTGCTACGCCACTGGACTAAAGTGCAGGGGAATGGATAATGTGCAGAATACGCTTTCGAAAGGGAGCAGGACCGCAGCAGTACACGCAGCAAGTTAAGATTGTCAAGATGGATGCTCAGTATCATCGGTTCGAAGTATGGATTTTGCCGCGTGATTCGTAAAAGAGAATTGTCGTTGATGTTTAATAAGAAAAAGATTGTGCATCAGAAAGTTTTGTTGTTCATAGTATCCTAAGATGTTTTATAGTGTCTCGATATGCAGCGTTAAGTAAACCGAATGCTTTCATATAGTGATGAGAAAAACACCTAAAAGCAGTGCAGTAGTAGCAGTCTTCTACAATGGTGGATAACAATTGTATTATCGAGGGAAACGTCAAATTTCGCGATGGCAAAAAAGTAAGTACTTCTGTTTAAATTTTTTCTTAATTAGTTACATCTTTACATTTACGATCATAGTGTCCGATGAATATTAATTCTTTAATTCATTATTTGTCAATATAACATAATTTAATTTATCTCGTGAATCTATATAATGATAAAATATTACGCAGTATTCTATATTTTATATTTGGAAAATCATTCTAATGAATGATAATTCAATTCAAATTCATTTTTATATTTAATTATTTTAAAATTGCTTAAATACAATGATTTCAATAAAAAAAATTACATAATGATGTAAGGATCTTGCGCTAATGCTCTCGTCAAATACTCGTGTACTGCTTGTAAAGTATATATACATATGTATACAACCTTTTATTGAATCAATGAAAAATATGAAAATTCAAATTCAAATTATGTATGATTAAATTTCATTTTTTTCATCAACATATATTATATAAATTATAATAACATGCTGAAAATTATAATGTTATAAAAATAATTTTTAATCTTATATACATTTAATTAATTATATATATTATATACATTTAACATATAGTTGTTAGATATTTAATGTTCAAGAATACAATATTTCATGAATGATTAGAAACTTAATTATTTTAATAAACTTGTGTCAATATCAAATATTTATTTTTTTAAAACCATAAAAATTTCAATACAATGCTTAATTTCTATTTAATATGAGCAAAAAATCAAATTAAGATATCATGATATGATTTCAATGAACATTACAACTATGAAGTAGTTGTTGAAAGCTTAAGGAAGTATTTAATGTGAAAAGAAATGAAGAGTCATAAAGCCATAAAAAGCTAGTTCATTTTCTTTTATTTACATTGGGGTACCAAAGAAGTCATTCAGATGGGAAAGGGTAGGAAACTCTTTTATTTTTATCATAGGGGTATAGAGGGTTCAAATGGATTCAAGCAAACGTATATTACATATGTATAATGTTTTTATGCATAATAAATCTATATAAACATAAGGCATGTAACATTAGGCATATAAACATAAGGCAGTAAGCATTATTATATGAGATATTTATGTATAATCAAATCTTTGTATTATTTGTTATTATTAATGTTATATTACTAAAGTTATTAGTAATGTTCAGTGATACATTATGAAATTCATCAATTTAATATAATTATTAAGCTAATATCAAAGTTCTGCAAAATTTTTTAATATTTATTCAAAAATTATTTATTTGCATTACAGTGGAAATCAAGATGGTGTGTCATGAGAAAATTATCACCAGTTGCAGGTAAAATTATTTTTTTAAATAAACTTTATCTTTACTTATAAAAGTAGGTTTTAAAAATATGTATAATAAAAATTATTTTATTACATTATAAACAAAAATATAAAACATTATCACTAAAGCAAAAGAAAACATATGAAATTTCATTAGAGATGTAGATAACAAACAGGAAATGTTGCACATTTTACATATCTCTCTTTTTGGTGTTACTTTAAAGATATAAGGACGCTTTTCTCTTTGTATAATATTCAATATATATATTCTTTACAATGAACTATTCATATGCATTTTAAGAATGACCTCTTTTAATCTTATCAATATTGATAAAAAAAAGTTAATATTTAAACTACACCTGTAAAAAGAAGATAAAAAGTTGTTACAAAGTGACTCTAAAAAATAATAACAATTTTATTTCCTATCACAATTCTAATCCTATCTAAAAGAATTTCCTTACTTGTTATCAGCATAAAGAATTCCTCCCTGTGTCCCTATCCTAGGGTGGCAGCTGGCACATCTGTTACAGATTGACTAGCTGGAGAAACAAAAAAAATTTCCAAGAAGAGCTTTGCTTCTGGCAATAACCATTAATACCTGGCCCTTGTAAGTTAAGGATATTTTAAAACTTAGGGACACCAGTAGCTCATAAATTTTCTTTAGGAAGAATTAGTTAAGAGTACATAGAAGGGGCTAACATAGGATTTACTGCATTTCTACATCTGCCTATAAGTGTTAAACTAGTCACTTAAAGCGTGAAATATCAGAAAGAACTTTATCAAAATGTTTATTTAAAAATATTTTCGCAAAAACTTTTTTAACCGTTTTTTTGTTTATTTTAAACAACGCACAGTTATATAGAAGACATCGTTGACTCATTTGTAGATTGTCTTCATTTACAACTTTACGGAGATAGCAAGGATCGATATAAACAAGGCCAAACAAAAGCTTCATTAAGCTTGCAACATTTCCTCGGTGTAGAGAGTGGTTTCACTCTTGATAAGGAATCAAACACAATAGCTATAATATGCCAAGATGTGACGGTTGTTTTGGCTTTCGACACCAGAGAACGATTGATACAATGGCAAGTGAAAATCTCTA